GGTAATATAAAAGGTCTATAAATAATAAAATGTTATAGGAATAAAAATATTTAACTGATATAAAATAATTAAGGCAATAAATAAACAAATACAAAAAAAAAAAATGGCAAATATACGATAAATGTATTAACAAATATTTGAAGAGAAATTCTACTCTTTTTATTAATGAAGCATACATTTCTGTTCTTAAATACATTTCCCACTGGGGCAAAAAAACGTGTTCCTTAAACATCAATCACCTTCAGCACCAACAGCCCACAATTACGAATTTCTTGCCAAATAACAAGTAATTAGCTTAGTTTGGAATACGATTTGAACATTATTCAGCAAAAAGCGGCTCAAGTAATTTAGTTAATGACTTAATTAGACAATTACTCAACTTTGCTTATGGTTAACAAAAAGGAAATCAATGGAAATGTTTAAGAGAATTTTTCTGGGAGTGCATAAATTCCATTAATCGAAGTATTCTTATCGATGGCCAGATCTTTTGACTCATAAAGAAATGAAAAAAGTGTGCGCAAGATTATCAGGGACTGTTTTGTTTTTGCTGCTGTACACAGTAATTAATATTAAGTATACGTCGTGTTTGACAGCTTTCAGTTGTTAGCTGGCTAAAGAGCCTCGAAAACGTCACGTAGATAAATAGAGCCACTAAGACCCGATGTCAAAGAGCAGCTAAATCAAATTTTGCCCGCAACTTTTTAAGTTTATTTTTTTTTTTATTTCGCCTATCTGGTCTGGCTTGAAGGCCAACAGGAAGGTAGGTGGACAAGAGTAAATAATAAATAAATATTTGGAAAACGTTTCGCTAACAGGACACGTACTGGGAATTAACCAGGGACAGGGGGATAATGCGACGGTTTCTGCTAGAACGGAAGCATCTGGCTGTGGCCAAGACGTGCCCAAGTCTTTGTTGACTAAAGCTTAAACCACGGCCGAAAACTTTTGGCTGGCCATTAAAGTTTAAAGATGAAGGCGACAGCTTGCCGAACCGCAGAGGATTTGACCCCGGCGAATATAATCCATGCCCATACCCAATTCTCCAGCCCCATTCCACATGCTTTTAAACGATTCCTCTCTCTCTCTTTAGGCCTGAGTAACCGCACTGGGTTGGCGGTTCTCGAAGCCCGCATAGATTTACAATCAGCTGCTGTTTGGGCCCTATGCCACAAATCATAAAAACGCATCCACACACGAACATATGTTCGTGTTAGTTCATCATGCGCCCTCCTGCGGCCATGTGGCCTGCGTATACGTGATATTTTATGGGTCACTCGCTTCGCCGTCGACCCTAAGTCCCATGGATGTCCTGGGAGCCGATTTTCAACAAAGCTCGCACTTCGTATTCCGCTGAGGCCGTAAAAATAACCGCTCCTTCTGCTCTCTTATCCCCTGGGAGACCCGAGTGAGTCGTGTAAGTGTAATCCTAGCTCAAACTGTATCTCATTACATTTGATTTACAGATAATCAGGGCTAGTAGATGGCGGCTCCTTTCTTAAACACTTTCTCTTGACGGTACTTAGGTGGTGAGCTGCTCTATGTTGAATATTTTCCACCATCAAAGTTAGCAACTAGTGGGTAGAAACTAAAAGTAAAGCTTTATTCCCATTTAGACGTTAATGATATAGTTTTAGAGTTAATTGTAACCCATACAATATTTAATTTCATGCATGCTTGTTTAAAGATAGTTTTCTTTTTCTATCTAAACCCTTAATTTTAGTTTCTAACGTAAGCAAACTACAAATTTCAATGACTGATGCTGGAAAATATACAACATAAAGGTATTCAAGTCACTAATTTGTACACTATTTACAGCCAAAGTTTAATTGCACATTTTAAATAATAGTCAGGCAAGTAATAAATCTCTAACAAATAACTAATTAAAACCTAATGTTCTGCAAGTGCATCATAAATGTCCTCTTAAAACGTGAAATATTCTCTATTGAGTTCACCGCACTCCCATGCAGACACCATAAAATGGCATAAAGAAACAATTCAATTACCCGAAATTGCAAACGTTTTTACACATCGTTAAATGCCCAAATGCACAGAAATGCAAAACGATGTCAAAAAATTGTTGTGAATTTCATTTATTTCCAGGCGTCTCACATTTGGGTGGCACTCTGGAAAAAAAAAATTCTTCGTTCAGTTGACCCGGAAATGGTAGGAAAAAGGTGCAGCCACCAGCAAACAAATGCATGTATGAGTAGCAGTCAAGTGTCCAACAAATTTGCACAGATTTTGCATCTGGAATTTCATATGGATCTGGTTTGGGGCACAAAAATAAGCCAACGATGAATAAATGATTTATTTTTAAGACCATCAAAAGCCCGAGTAGAAATGCCGGTATAACATTTAACAGAAAACATTCAATTAAATATTACGAAGCGGTTTTTTTCCCAGCCAAGATTGCAAAATGTTCTCGCTCAAAAGAGCATGAGCTGAAAGCCAAACATTACACGAAAATTGTGTGTAAAATTAAAAAAGGAATGAGAGCTGGATGTTGGAAATAAATTGAGCAAAATGGTGGCAGCTACTTAAGTGAAAATATTTTTGCGCTTGTAATAACTTGGCTGCTCTAACCACAGTCTGGGCGCGGCCAAAAGGAGAGCCGAAAAGCGCAACACGAAAGGCGCTTAAGTGCTGTGGCTTTGGCCTAGAGATGTGTAAAATAAACCTCATAAGCAATGAAAATCACGTTAATTTAAGTCTAAATTAGGTTTAAGGGATTTTTATCAGAATAATCGTCTTGTTCGCGCAATTATTAAATATTTCATAATAGCTTTTATATTTCTAAATAGCATTATATCATTCGAAAGGCGCTTAAGTGCTGTGGCTTTGGCCTAGAGATGTGTAAAATAAGCCCCAGAAGCAATGAAAATCACGTTAATTTAAGTCTAAATTAGGTTTAAAGGATTTTTATCAGAATAATCGTCTTGTTTGCGCAATTATTAAATATTCGCTCACAGGATATAGCTTTTATATTTATAAATAGCATTATATCTCACGAAAGGCGCTTAATTGATGTGGCTTTGGCCTAGAGATGGGTAAAATAAGCCCTAGAAGCAATGAAAATCACGTTAATTTAAGTCTAAATTAGGTTTAAGGGATTTTTATCAGAATAATCGTCTTGTTTGCGGAATTATTAAATAATCTCTCACAGGATATAGCTATAAGCACCATTATAGCACCAAGTTCTCCTTGTTGAAGATGTAATAAAATAAAACCAAACATATTTATATAGCATAATAACATAATAACACTATGTTCTGATTATTGATTAAGAAATATCAGACAAACCATTTATTTTTAGTTTAATGTTTAGTTGAAGTTTTAAAATGTTTTGGAATTTAAATATGATTTAAATCTATAATCTTTAGAAAAGTGATATAGAAAGTATAACTTTGTTAAATTTGTAAATTAAAATTAAAATAAAATTGCACTTATTCACAAGGTACCATCTCTAGACAGGCCTTTTAGATCCCGGCTGCATTCATACGTTTTCGATTAAGCTTGTTCTTGGTCTACTTTGCCGAAAACGGAAAGCGGAAATTTACACAAAGAAAGGATGTAGCACACGACCGGCTATAAGACGGAATCGCAGCTGTAGCTGCAGCTACGGTTCAGGCCCAAAGTGGGCCAAAATTGTAGCACGGCTATGACTGACAGGCCATTAATTTTGGATTACCCGGCCAAAACCACTATGGAGCTCACGGCTTCAGCCAAGAGTCGTCGACAGGCGGCGACCGACAAAAATTGCACATACACTTGCAGGCGGCCCTCAGACGAGGCTGTTAAACATTTCATAATGCCTCGACACACATTTCGGCCGCTCCTTGGTTCGGCGGTCGTTAACGTTAATGACAACTTAAGTGCTCATGTATAATTTCTGTAAATTATTGCCTACCTATGCAACAAACTGGTAACAATGAAGTGGCCAAAACAAAAAGGTTTAAGGAGTTGGCCAACCAAAACTTTAATACTAAAGCTGATCACATGTATCCATAACAAATAGCTTAAGATTTATTTGTTGAAATTGGTCGATTTTAAATAAATTCTACCTTTTTTATAAATCAGAAAACTATTAAAATAATCTTATTTTAACTTGATTATTTATAAAAGCTAAAGTATCCAAAAATAAATAAGCAGAGTTTCAAAAATATTCAAAAATAACTTTAGCAATAAGAAGCCTGCCAGAACTACTTACATTAATTAAATACAAGAATCAGTGGTAGTAAATCGCTGACCTTCGTGACGGCAATGACAAAATAATAACATTCGCCATGCCATAACAAAGGCGACGACAAATCTAATTACAGAATAAGCCTTTTAAGGGCTTACAAGCCGAAAAACGTAAAGTTTTCATGTTGGCAGCAATAAAACTGTCGACTCAGACACTTTTCTGCCATCAACAAGATGTCGCCTAACCCATTGAAACTCCCAAAAACCGACACCCAAAAGATGTCGAGACCCGAATTCAATTAATGTAATTCAGTTGAACACGGAAACTAATTTGGCCACCTTTGGTTGCCTTCAAAATAAAATTGCGACTAATTAAGTAATGAAGAATCCTGAGTAAAGGGCTTACAAGTAAAAGTTTGCAAGATGTGTCGACTTCAACCCTTGCCAAAACTAGAAAGTAAATCATGTCCATCAACTTAAATATTAAAGTGTTCGTTGTATATATAAGTCAAGCAGTGTAAATGTACAAATCTCGAGGCATAAATCACAATTTCTTTGCCATTAAGACGAGACCGCAAAGATTTGCGGCTCCGCAGAGTTTGGTGATGGTATGGGAATCCGCCACTGTTTGGTGCCGAGCCCCAGCTGGGTCTGTGGCTTTTATTCCCGGGAATCGTCATTTAGCCAAGAAAAAAGTTATAAACTAAGGGCTTCCTCAACTTACCAGCTTAATGGCCTTAAAACTTGTCTAACAATTTAAGCATTCCGTTTCTTTACGGCTTTTTCATAAGTGTTTGTAAAATATAAAAAACTCTTGGTACTTTTTTTTAATGAAAAACTAACTAATTTATTTTATTGATTCTAAAAATCAAAGTCATTAAAAATATTTTAATTAAAGTCAACAGGACATTTCCTCGCCCAACTTAATTCCGTTTTCGATACTCTTCTTCAAGTTTGGCAGCATGCACTCGAGGGCCTGCTTCTCCTCATCGTCCATTTCGGGGAGTCCGATGTTCTCCTTGATGCCCTGGGGTCCCAGGATGAGCTGGGTGGCAAAGAACTTGGCCTCGGTGACATCCGAATCCACATAGGCACACTCCACAATGCACTCGTCCTTCGATCCCTTTATTCCCTTAATTAGCGACTCCACGAAGTGATAGGCGGCATAGGCCATCGATAGGGTGGCCGATCCGAGGCCATCCTTGGCCTTGACCACCTCTGTGCCCGCCTCCTGGATGCGACGGATCAGGGCCTGACGCTCCTCGTCGGAGCCCTTGTAAAGCGGTTGGCACTGCGACAGGATGGGCAGGATGGTGTGGCCGGTGTGGCCACCGATGACGGGCAAATCCACAGTCCTTGGGTCAACGTTAAGGATGTCACCGATAAAAGTCTTCGATCGCACCACATCGAGGGTCGTCACACCAAAGAGTCGGTTCGGATCATACGTTCCCTTCGCCTTGAGGATCGTGGCAACGATGGGTACTATCACATTGATGGGATTCGTGATGAAGGCGAGCAGGGCGCCGGGACAAACGGCACTGGCCGCATGGGCCACCTCGCAGGCCACGCTGGCATTCACGTCCACCAGATCCTCACGTCGCATTCCCGGCTTACGGGGCAATCCCGCCGGAATCACCACTATATCTGCCTTATCCATCGCCTTCTTGAGGCCACTCTTTCCCTCGAAGTTGCACACAGTGGCCGGGGTATTGATGTGCGACAGATCCGCCGCCACTCCGGCCGTGTTCCGAATGTCGTGTATCGAGAGCACCGAGATGTGCGGATTCTGCTTGAGGAGCAGGGTCAGCGGCTGACCAATGCCACCCACCGCACCCACGACGGCGACCTTGAGGCCTCGCATGCTGCCACCGCGTCCAAAATTAAAGGCCTCGAACGGCACTCTGGATACTTGGGTGCATAGTCGGAGGGCAAACATTCTCGGGCAGTCGATAAATATATTTCAACTGTTCAAATTTATAAAAGGCTTTACTTAATAATCAAAAATATAGCAAGGCGAGGTGAAATAAAAAGAATAGATAACGAGATTTTTAGTGAATATGTAGTGCTTTTAACATTTATATATGTAGAAAGTCCACTTAACCAGGTAAAGACGTAGTATTGAAAGAGTTTATAAAGTTTGGAAATTATAAATAAATTAAATTCAGGTTTTTGCCATAAAGTATGAATACATTAATATCTGGGGAAGTACATAAGAAATAATATATCTTTCACCTTGAAATTAATGGTCAATTAATGCAAATAATGTATTTCAGGTTACCTCTCAGTATTAAGCCACTTTTAAAGTATTATATTTAACATACACAATCAAAGAACGGTCAACTCTTATAGGTTGTTAGTACGAAAATGTAAGCCATTGTGTTTATTTCATTATTCTGTGAATAGTAGGCATTGAATTGAAAAGTCAAAAGTTGCAATTCTGCTTATCCAGTCGATTTCATTCTTAGCAAAATGTTTTTACTTGGAAGTCTAAAGTCACAGACAAAAATAGCACCATGGCGTGTTGTGATCCGCACTTTAAAGGTGTCCGTGGTGGGAGCTGGTGGAGGGATTGGCCAGCCGCTATCGCTCCTGATCCGCCGCAGTCCTGGAATCGATGAACTGGCGCTTCACGATCTGTCCGAAATGAAGGGCATCGCTGCGGATCTATCGCATGTCAGTCAGGAGGGAAAGGTGATCGGGTTTACGGGTGAAGTCGAACTTGAGCCGGCCTTGAGTGGAGCGGATGTGGTGGTTGTGGCCGCCGGAATGCCACGTCTTCCAGGAATGCTGCGGGATCAACTGATGGCCGCCAATGGCAGTGTGGCTGTCAAAGTGGCCACTGCCGTTAGTAACGCCTGTCCAGGAGCTCTATTGGCCTTCATCACCAATCCGATCAATATGATTGTCCCAACGGCAGCAGAGGTCCTTAAAGCCCACGGGGCGTATGATCCGCGACGTCTGTTTGGCATTACCACTTTGGATGTGGTGCGCTCGAAAAAGTTCATCGGCGATGCTATGAAGATATCTCCTGATAAAGTTAACATTCCCGTGATTGGTGGCCATGCCGGGATCACTATTCTACCGCTCATCTCGCAATGTCAGCCGGAGTTTAAAGGTGGCCGAGAAGATGTCCAGAAGATGACTCATCGCATCCAGGAGGCAGGAACAGAGGTGGTAAATGCCAAGGCTGGTAAGGGATCAGCCACTTTATCGATGGCTTTTGCGGGTGCGCATTTCGTGGACTCCTTGCTTCGTGGAATTGGTGGCCAGGAGGGCATCATCGAGTGCGCCTTTGTAGCCTCGGAGTTAACGGAGGCCCCCTTCATCGCCAGTCTCCTGGAATTGGGTAAATATGGAATCAAGCGATATTTACCCCTTCCTCCGATGAGTGTCAATGAAAAAGAGGCCTTCGAAAAGCTGCTTCCTGTTCTAAAACAGAATGCCAATGAAGGGATCGATTTTGCCAGGAAGTCGTTGATGGAGAAGGCTATTCCAGCGGCACTGCCATAATGTCACACAAATTTTACACTTTTATACCTATAAATAAATTAGGGGAAAGCGTTTAATTTTATTCTGTGTAAATGACTTATTTGAACTGAGATCAAATAAAATAAAACGTTTAGACACTAGAAATTACATAGATTAAAACATACTTATTCTAACATAAATCATCAATGATTTCTAAAACCGATTACAAATTAAATTCCACTTCAACAATAAAATTCGTATACGAATAAAGCTTTGATATTTTAATTAATTGTTTTATTAAGAAATAGTTTTGATTACATGGTGATTTTATTTATTTTCTCAAAGCAGCAAAGTAGAAAATTAAGAACAATTAAAATTCTTAATATTGAAGGAAGGATAACTTCACTTAAAAATGTGTAAGGTATTTTACTAAGGATTGTGGTTGTATTTAAAATCATTTGGTTTTATTTCTGTTTAAATGCCCGCAAATAAATTCCGGGCAAAATATTTCTGTGGGCCAGCGTATATCGTCTGGCAGTAAATTACATTTGCACTGAGACGCTCTCTGCTCGACCTGCTAACAAATTGCTTGGCCATCTTTGGCCCCCCTCGAAAACCCGACATCCTTCCTACGTGTGGCCCCCAAAAAGTAGGCAGCAATTTTCTTCACTTTATTTCACACTCGCCCCATAAAAACGAAAAACACATTGGGTGTGTCCATTTTATCTTGTTGTCCCCTCCCTTCGCAAAAAAAAGTGGGTGGCGCCAAACTTTCTTGCGACCCAGTTTCACTTTCACCCGGAGTTCACCTGGCCAAGTTTTAGTTGGAGCGTGTGTGTGAGTAATTCCACTATTGCGGCTGCATTTGTTGCTGCCACCCAGGCTGACAACAAGATAAATTAAGCCAAGGCATTTCAGACAACATGTTGGCCAGTGGGCCACCTACGAACAGAAACCAGAATGTGGATTTCGAAAAAACAAAACATGGGTCCAAGAAAAGGTGTCTCAGTTAAGTGGCTTTCCAAGTCATTACGCCAGGGAATTATATGTCTTTTAAAGAACCAATTTTACCATCCAATAAATAAAATATACCATTCAGCTTTTTTTAATTTTTAAGCAATAATTTTTTCCATAGTTACACCGTACTCTTTTTGCTTATTACGATTTTCTTTACGACCTCATAAATTTTCGTTTTCTGGCCTCTGGGCAATTTGTTGGTATTTTGTGGTCATATATTTCATATGCAACACTTTCCGTTTATGGGTTAACTAATTGCAGGAAAATTCTAAGCCACATCAGCAAACAATTTTCGGTCGAACTACTTTCCGCAAGTTTAGGAGCTGTTTTATTTCTGATTTGGCTACGCTACTGCTTTCTGTTTATTTGTACACAAACTTTTTGTGGGTCATGCCGAGTGTTTACCTGACCATCGCAAAACTTTATTTATTAGCGAAAGTCATTTGGACCCGAGCTTTCCACCGATGTTGATCTTTCCGGGCATATTAAAAAAGTTGCCAAGTAGCAAAATCAGAATACTGAAACTTGGTTTTTTATTGGTGAATTTCGGCGGGCTTTTAGTTTCATTTTTATTAAAAGCAGTAATCGATAAAAATAAGTTGCACTGTAGAATGCCAAAAAAGTGAAAAGTCTTTCCGAAATTTCTAATTAAAGGACGAATTTTGGTTCAAGAGTTTTCACTTCTTAAACATCTGCTCTTCCCGAAATGTTCGTATAAATCACATCCCTTTTTTGGACAAATACGGAACCAGAATACGAAACTTATCAAAACAAATAAATTCCTCCGGCTGAATGTGTTCATTTATCTTAATTTAGCAGTTTAGAATGCCAAGCGAGCGGGGGAGTGGAACAATAATTTTTCACACTATTTTCATAGATCCTTGTCAAAATAGGATAGCGCCTCGGGAAACCGGAAGTCCGAGCAGCTGGGTTAGTGCTGGCCCGGGGCGTTTAATTTCCATGAAACTGCACATAAATTTCCCAGTTGGCTGTAATTTCCAAGCCAACTCCGCAAACCTTTTTTGTGCGGGAGTAAACAAGGCAACCCAAAGTTGCAGCTTGGCATTCGCATTCGATGCGAATTTATGGCCATTTCCCTTTACCTTTGCCCAGCCGTAATTTTTTTTGTTGGTAATTTATTTTGAGTCTGGCCAAAACAAACACGTTAATTTCGCAAATTAGTAGCATGTGTTGTTCCCCTTACCGGGGCTTAATTAGTTTAAAAGGCCCGACTGCTGCCGATCGATAAGTCCAACAGTTGCGAGTTGTCTGAGTTGGTGGCCCATAACTTTGCTGTACTTTTGCACTTGTCAGGACGACGTCCAGGACGAAGGAGATGAATTGGAGCGGCTTCTGCCAAGAGCCGGACTCGATGTAGTGGCCCTTGGCTCGTGGATCTCCATAAATTCCTGGCCAAAAGGCGCTGGCTGCCAAAACTATTACTCACACTCCTTCGCCACCGGCGACGGACGGATAATTCAAATTGTCCATTACGCGCAGCTGCCGCTCGATTTGAGTCCTTTGGCAATTGGCCGCGTCGAGTCCTGCCAAGTTTTCCGCTTTTGTTTGTCTTCATAAATTTTACTTTCAAAGGATATTTCAACTGAATTTAAGTCTGTCCGTCCGCAACTTCACCCGGGGAATTCGGTGGCTAATTGCGAATCAACAGAACCTCGATTAAAAAGAAGCGCTATTGCCAATCAATAAAAACAATTGAAAACCAATCAGAGTTTAATTACCGCAACAAAACGCTGATGAGACGTCGACAGTAAACAGAAAATCCCGCACAAGGAGCGAAATCACCAAACCATAAATCAATAGCATATATCCTGGGGCCAACGAGTATGGAACATGGAGCATATGAGGCGCAACCAAGTAGACCGCAGAATAAAGGCAACAATAAAAACTGGCAATAGGACGGACTCGTAAAAGAGCGGGGGCCATGAGGATGCCCATAAACAAAGAAGTAAACAAGCGCCAAGTACAATAAGTAGAATACACATGCTCAAACATGCAGGCACAGCATATATGTCTGTACATAAAAATGTCTCTTTGGGTGGACTTCCGCCGGAAATGGAGTGCAGAACGAGCAGCACTTGTCTGCTGATATCAGCAGCGATAGACGAGCGCATAAAAGCCTGCTAACCAGCTCAAAGGCATCATCATTACGAGCTTGACACGAATATAAAATAAATAAATAAACAAATCATGTGGGAGCCGAGTGTAAGAGTAATATAAGCGAGTATTTCAATATTTAAAATGCCCTTGTTTAATTTGTGATTGGCTTATATACCCTGTGGATTTTCTAGGTTTTTTTTTTAATGTTATGACATAACGTTGAAAGTTTACAAAGGAAACCGAATAATAATTGGTAAAATCTAATATAAGTATAAGGTAAAAAAATCCTTATTATTTCTGTAATCAAAAAAGATTGTTGCTTTCGTACACATTTTTAAGTGATATTCACGCCGGTTCCGTGGCACCGCCAAATGTTTTGTAAGTCCCGCTTTTAAACATATTTAAAATATTGTTTTGTTTTTAATTATATATTATTTTAATGAAGTAATGAAAAAAGCTTACAAGCTTAAAAAAATTAACAAGATTATTTAACTTAGCTTTACTGTAAGAGTAGTGTGGATTCCTTAAGAAAGTACCCATATAAATGGGTTTTTATCAATTATTTGCTATACTAGCAGTTGGCTTTTCCCAAGGACTTATTTAAAATTGCTCAATTAGGTCCCGAACCAAAAATCCTCTTAATGTCCACCGAATGTCCACAAGTTTTTCCATTGACAAGTCAGTCATAGTCTATAAGAGGATGCAGTTGCACGACTATATGAAGTATATAGACCTAGCTTGCTGGCTTGGGTTTTCACCCCGCTTTCAATGGACAGGACGGCCCACAAATGGAAAACCCTACACGTTGGAAAAAAGGGCTTTATTTGTACTTGGAGTCAGTTGTGCAATCTATCAGCTTTTTGCACAGTTTTTCCATTGGTATCAAAACGGGCGGATGGCTGAGGAAACGACTGCTTTTGTGACACAAATTTCGGAAACGTGTGGTGCTCTTACGTTAACCTCTGTGGGATTCGCCCACATATACGCTCTCATAAGGAATCGCCATCTGATTGAATCGGTGTTCCAAGAACTACAGGAGATATATCCCAGAGCCAGGGATAGGCACTATCGTTGCCAGCACTACTTTGACTTGGCTATGCTTATAATGAAGATTGAGTTTGTGTTATTTATGGCCTTCTTGGTGTACTACAATAGTGCCCCAATTTTGCTGCTGCTTTGGGAATACCAACAGAGGCAGGAACTGAGTTTCACTTTGCAGGCTAACACTTGGTTTCCCTGGAAAGTTCACGGCTCAGCGATTGGGTTCGGTGTGGCTGTACTTATTATAATCCTGATTTCGACTGTGGACGTTGCATTCGCTATAGTAGCCGTACATTTGGTTTGCATATTCGTTTTCCAACTGAAACTGCACTTTGACGGCTTGGCTAGTCAATTATTGAACCTGGATTCCCGTCAGCCCGATGCAAATCAACAGTTGAGGAATCTGATCGCCTATCATTCGTGCATCCTTCAGATCACGGAACAAATTAATCACATCTTGAACCCCTTATTCATGACTAGCCTGGTTGGTTCTACAATTGCAATTTGTATGACCAGCGCGGCTATTTTGCTACTCGACTTGGCCTCTGCCTTCAAGTACATAAATAATCTGGCTGCATTTGTCCTCTACCACTTCGTCATCTGCTACTTGGGCACTGAAGTCACATCCGCAGTAAGTACTCTAATATCATCTACATATTTTTAACATAACCTTGCACCATACTAGATGGTAAATCAAACAGATGTCTGTTCTCATAGGACTATTAGAATTGGTTTCAAATTACCTTATTAGACCTCCAGGCGAAAAAAAGTCCTTATATTTCAAGGCAGTCTCAATTCACTCACAGTTCATAACAGAATGCAGTTGATTGACTATATGAAGTATATAGACCTCGCCTGTCGCATCGCATTTGTACCACGCTATCGATGGATTGGAGGGCCAAGAGATAGAGATAAACAAACAACAGTCAAACAAAGCTTTTTCCTGTTTGGAGTTGCTTTTATGGTCTACCAGAATTTCGGAGTAAATATGTATTGGTTCCTGTTTGGCAGAAATGAAAAGGATATGGATAAGTTCGTGACACAACTTTCGGAAACGTGCGGTTCACTTATGCTAGTCACTGCCGCATGCTCATTTGTATGGACACTCACAAGAAACCGATCCAATATCGAGGCGGTGTTCGCAGAGCTCCAAGCGCTGAGTTACAGACCAGAAGATAATCAGGATCGGTGCCAGCACTACCACGAGATGGCGATCTTTATAATGGAGATTATGTTTAAATTTTACATCATATTTTATGTGTATTACAATACAGCGCCACTTCTTTTGCTCATGTGGGAGAATCTGATGGATAAGGATATATCCTACAAAATGCAAGCCAATATGTGGTTTCCCTGGAAGATTCAGGGTTCAGCATTAGGTTTTGGCATCGGTGTTATTAGCCAAGCAATGGGCTCGATTGTGGGCGTTGGCTTCACCATAAAAGTTCTGTGTTTAAACTGCATATTTACTTGGCAAATTAAACTGCACTGTGACGCCTTATCATGTCAGCTACTGTCGCTCAACTCTAGCAGTCCAGAATCACATTGGAAATTAAGGTCTTTGATTGCCTATCATTGGCGTATCCTTGAGATTGGGGAGCAGTGTAATCGGATCTTGAACCCTATTTTCCTGACCAGCCAAATTTTCTCAGCTATTGCCATTTGTACGACGAGTGTGGCTGTTCTTCTGCTCGATCTGGCATCTGCCATCAAATATGTCAGTGGCCTTGTGGCATTCGTCCTCTACTACTTCTTCATTTGCTACATGGGCACCGAGGTTACTAGAGCGGTAAGTAATCTTTTTGAAATTTTTTTTGGCAAGGCGTTTGTGAGGTTGAGCCAATGGTTCCATACTGATATATTGATAGATAATGTCATAATGTCAATTTTTATATTCGATATTTCCTTGTTGGACACTTATTTAGATGCTGTCTGTTGCGACAAAAATAAAAATATTAAAAACATAGGTATTTTTTTTTAGCTAAAAACAAATGTTTTACCACCTCGCCCTAGGAATTGGCAACTACCTTCGAGTCAGATAAATTTTTTGAAATTGAGTTTTTGTCATTACCGTATTTGGTAAATTAAGGACAGCTGCCGTTTCCCAAGACCTCGAATACAGCTGATTTAAAATGATTCGATTAGAGCCGACTTGAATCGAAGCATTTTTGAGTCATTTGCAGTTTGGAACAGGATGCAGTTGCACGACTATATGAAGTACTTGGACCTAGCCTTCTGTATGGCCATGATCCCGCCTTTTCAATGGAATGGACGTCCAACAGAGAGAAACAAAAATGAAAAAGCCAGAAAAACTCTATTCGTAATTGGCCTTATATTACTAGCTTACTTGAATGTTGGCTTTCTTATATATTGGATTTTAAACGGAAGAAAAGCTTCAAATACGCAAGATTACGTGGCCGGAATATCGGAGATGGCAGGAAGTCTGATGCTTTCAACTGTTGCCACCTGCAATGCATTGGTCATCACGATAAATCGACCTCAATTCGAGGAGGTGCTTGCGAACTTGGAGGAAATACATCCAAAGTCAAGAGATAAGCACTATAGATGTCAGCATTACTGCAGGTTGGCCACAGGCATTATGAAATGTGAGGGTATATATTACACGATCTTTGTTATATATTTTAATATGGCACCCCTTGTGGGAATGCTGTTCGAATACTTGATGGATAAAGAGAACTTCAGTTACAGGCTGCAGTTAAACATCTGGTTTCCCTGGAATATCCAGGATTCGGTTTTAGTATACAGTTTAACTTACCTCAGCCTTTGTTACACTTCGTGCATAAGCGTGGCATTCACGATGATCACTCAGAATATAATATGCATATTTACCTTTCAATTTAAACTACATATTGATGGTCTAGCCGATCAGTTAATCACCCTAGATTCTCGCCATGCAGAAGCCCATCGGAAGTTGAGAAAGTTAATCGAATACCACTACGAAATATTGAAGCTCGGAGAGAAAATGAATAGGACATTGAACATTTCATTTTTAGTCAGTTTGGTATTTACCACAATTGCCATTTGCATGACAAGTGTGGCTGTACTGCACCTTGATTTGGGATCTGCCTTCCAGTTCGTCAATGGACTAATTGCTTTTATTTCCTACAACTTCATAATTTGCTACTTGGGCTCTGAAGTCACTGTTGCGGTAAGTAAGGGGATAGAATAGTTTGCTTTTGTAAAGTAGTGATATAGATAATTTTAACACTTAAGAGATACGTATCTTATTCCAATTTTTCGGTTGGGACATTACCGTCCCTTATAATTTGTCGTTTATTAATGGCAGTTGCCTGCTCACAAGAACTCTGACATAGCTAATAAAACCAGCGTAAAAGACACTCCTATTGGGCAATCAAGACATTCTCCGTGGGCACTCACAATATCATATGAATTTTTACATATCAATTTAAAGTGATTCTCTTCGCTATATCCAATCAACTACTTGAAGTTGATTCTCGTTATCAGAAGTTTCGAAGTCTAATTGCATAACACACTCGATGGTCTAGTCTCATTTATCGTTTACAATTTCGTCATCAGCTTCATAATAACTGAGGTGACTTAGCAGTTTTCTGTCGTTAATATAAAATAATAGTAATTTAGTATAGGGTGGGCTGAAAACATCCCACAGATCATAATAATAACTTCTTAATTTCGTTGGTTCTATTATTTGCAATAACCCATTCTTATAAACTGAATAATATAATTACTTTAGAAGTATGTGTCTTGGGAATTCAAAGGTGCCTAATTGGCATTTTAATATTCGGACAATTTTTTACCAAATTACCCAAGCTAAGTGATTTGTCCTTCAAAGAGCTGAAGCAGTTGCAAGTTCTCACAGTGGATATACAACCAACTTCGTTAACTCGCCTGAGAAAACAGCCGAGTAAGTTAGTACTAATTTATGATTTTATGAGATATCCGGACCTAGTCTGCCGAGTGGCCCAACTGCCCAGAATCGAGTGGAATGGCAGGAGATTGAGAGTCAATCGCAATTTGGTCAAACGCTTTATCTTCTGGTTTGGAGCTATAAATTTATTATATCACAATATTGGTGGAATCATGTACGGATATTTTGTCGATAGTAGTGCCATGGACCCGATCGATTATGTAGCAGACATGACAGAAAACAAGCAGTTGAGTTATCGTATCCAGAGCAATTCCTGGAATCCCTGGAAGATCGAGGGATCATTGCCTGGATTTTTTGCTGCGATTGTTTGTCAGGCTGGTTCGGCCCAAGCCAACATGTGTGTCATCATTTTTACCCAGTATCTAATAACCTTTTTCGTCGTTCAGCTGCAAATTCAATTTGATGGGTTGGCCAAGCGGATTGAAGCTATCGATGCCCGTGATCCAACTGCCAAGGATCGGTTGAACAGTGTGAATCAATCCTTTAACTTTACGTTCCTCATAATCCTCTTCGCGTCTATATCTTCCTTGTGTTTCCTAGGCTTTTCCATTATCGTGATGGACTTGGGCACGGCCCTAAAACAAACGATGGGACTTCTCATCTTTCTGTTGTACAATTTTTCCCTTAGTCAAGATGGTACGGACTTGATTTTTGTGGTAAGTTTTGAAAGGGCTTCAAGTTATTACCAAAACCTTTTGGGAAATATGAACAACAAAGTATTTCATCTTTTATCAGACATTTACTAATTTTACCTCTTTAAAATTTAACAAGGGACTTAAAGCTCACGTTCAGAGCTTCCTCCTTTGCATGGAAACTCAGAGGAATTTTTAATTGACATAATAATCCAATTAATGCAGTGCATGTTCCCAGGACATCATCGCTGGTAGGTTGATTGCCTAATTTTTGGGGAATGGTTTTCTGGAAAATTGTCAGCATAAAGTGGCCTTTAGAACGACGCAGTTCCAGGTGCTTATACTCTAAACAGACATAGACTGTCGATGGACCATGTTACCAAAAATGAATAGGCAAAGAGTCACCGAGAGTCAAGGAAACAAGGATGAATTACCATCACAGACTGATAAAATTGGCGGACAGTATTAATGGCATCTTTAACTTATTTTATATATTTTTTTTATAATTTTAACAACCTTGACTATATGCTTTATGGCCCATAATTTGACATTACTCAATACGATGACTGATTAAGTGGTTTAAAAAATTTAAACTCTAAGAAAGTATCAAAGTTACAATTGAAGAGTATAATAAATTTAAAAAATATATAAATCAATTATTATATATATATTAATATCATTGTCTTATTTCAGAGTGAAAAAGTGTTGTCAGCTGCCTTTTATAATAACTGGTATGAGGGTGATCTGGCTTATCGCAAAATGCTGCTCATCTTGATGATTCGAGCTTCAAAACCGTATGTGTGGAGAACATACAAGCTGGCACCTGTATCCATTGACACCTATGTGAATGTGAGTTTTTCTTAAATTTTCACCGATCGTTAATAAACAGTATTTAATTTATTTATCTTCTAATAGACATTAAAGCTTTCGTATCAAATGTTCACATGCGTGCGTTCTTTAAAGTGAAAGTAAAATGCGCAACGTCCTCGTACAAGAGTTCAGCTCTAAAAATATATTAATCAAAATATCAACCATAAAATGGATTAGAAAGTAGTTTGTTGAATCAGCTCTAAAAATATATTAATCAAAATATCAACCATATAATGGATTAGAAAGTAGTTTGTGGAATCAGCACGTTAATCCTGTTTTATTAGTAAATAAAATATATATCATCCAGCTTTAATTAACCAAAGCTTTTGTTTGGGAATATCTAGTTTTTATACCCTTGCAGAGGGTAATTTAATTTCAGTCAAAAGTTTGCAAGGCAGTGAAGGAGACATTTCCGACCCTATAAAGTATATATATGTGGGATCCGGTAGTTTTGGTGATGAGATCAGAGTTACCAGGAGCGGTCTCACCTACTAGTCTTTGTCTCCCTTCTTTTGAAATGTACTGAAAAGGAAGTAATCAACTGCAGAAAATAATGTCTGGCAACTCCTCGCTAAATCAATCGCCGCCAGAATCTCGACTCGATCGGACGCTTTGGATAATTACAGAAGTTTTTTTTTAAATTTAAGTTAAAAGTTGAATGGAATAAACAATATCAATAATTTAAAGCCAGTGTTACAACTTTATTGAAAAGAGGACACTGCATATATTCTTGATCAGCATCACCAGGAGAGTCGAACTAGCCATGACCCATTTTCATGTTAGTTATTTCAACGATTATGACAACTTTTAAAAGGGTCACCCACAACTGGACTTCCAGAGTCCATAACTTTATCAAACTTAATGCGATTTCACAGTGGCGTACCTCTAAAGACTTGTGGGTCGATTCTCTGAAAATCTGCATTCATTTTAACGTTGCTCAAAATTTTGACCGATTTTCATGTTAGTTATTTAAAACGATTATGACAACTTGTAAAAAGGTCACCCACAACTGGACATCCAGAGTTCATAACTTCACCAAACTCTACGACGATTTCAAAGTGGCATAATTTTAGAAAATATTAGAATGTTACTAAGCTGGCAAGTATTTCAGGTCAAAAGCTAATTAAAATTTCCAAAAAAATTTTGAAGATACCCCAACGAGTTGACCCAGTAATTTGCTTTCACTTGCTGCACAACAATGCAAAACAAAGGAAGCCCATGCAAAACGAAATTAAAGTCAGCATGAAAGACAAAAACCCACCTCGGGGTGTAGGAATATGTGCGGATATTTGAAAGGAAGCCAACTGAGTGCCCGCTTCGGTGCTTTTCTGGCTGGAACTAAGTAAACTTATTAAAGCCAGACAAAGGTTGTCAGGGGGGAGCATCAAACTTTTCATTTCGGAAAATGCAGGAGCGTAAAATTAAGTTCTTTGCAAGAATTGTTGGAATTATGTACAAGTCACCTGGCCGTCCCATCACCCGACCATCGTCCGTCATATGCTGGGGCTGAGTGGCTGAGATGGGTGTGATTATCACGTCGTTATCCGGGATCAGTGGCAACGGCGTTGCCATCGTGTCCTGTCCACCTCCTCGTCTTCATCATCTTGCTGGGACCCTTGTCCTTGTATTATATAATAACATTTTAATTCCCTTAATACACGCTACGCTGCCCGCAAAGCCAAACAAACTGAATGCCAGCCCAGGCGTTGTTGCTTTCGCCTGCTTTTTTTGGCTCTCAAGTTGGCCAGGAATTTTGCTGTTTTTTCGGTTAGTTCGTTTGTGCGTGCAAATCATTAATCATGAGCAGCGCATATTTATTGTTCTGCTTTCGATGACATTTTTTTGCTGGCCATGCATTTTGCACGTTCCATTTGCTGCCCGTTCTTCCTTTAATTAAAGCTTTAATGTTTAAAACGTTGGACATGAAATTGAGTAAATTGAGGTATTTAAAGTATTAAAGTAGTATAATTTAAGTTTAGTTAAATGCTTCTTATGTGATGAACCTGAACATTGTAAGAAAACTTATAATATATTAGTGAACTACTAATATCTTTGGTAATTGTCATTTGGAATATAGTTTGTTCAATGGTTAAATACGGAAATATGTTGCTTAGCTAGAATACATTTATAAGAAAATGTAAGCTTTAATTGACTGTTTTTTAGAACCTTCAATTTTAATCCCAGACTATTAGCATCAGTTCCCATACTAGCGAATATATGGGCTAATTGCAATCGGGCATCTTAGTTGTGCAAAGCCCTTCCAGCTGACAGCTCACAAAAGCACGTTTGGCAGTTAATTGAGTCATCAGCTTAGACAACAGCCGGGGTGGGCATATGAAAAAGATTGTGAATTGCCCAATCATGTGGAAGTGACTGCCAAGACCTTTAAAGTACACACGTCCCAGTGGCCAGGACAATAGCCAAAGGAACATAGAAATCTGGCCTGACGATCCCCCTCCCACACACACACACACACACACACACACACTCAGAAAATCGACAGTCTGTATAAAAATGTACTGGACCAGAGGAGGCAGGATACAGCTGCAGGATCATCATTGCAGGCATTTTATCGTTGTTTACCCTGGGCTCTGGTCCCATTCTCCATTCTCCATTCCCCAAGTCCTGACCATAGCCTTGATAAGTTTTTAGCAAACAAAGGCGGCTCGTTACAGCAACATGGGTCTTGGGAATTGGTTGGGTGAACCAAAACAAACCAAACTGAGCTGAGCTGCGATGTGCATTTAAAATTGCATACACAAAACACGAAAATTCCCACAGCCCTGCTGCCAGAGTCAAAACCACAAAATGTACTCAAACAACATGTCTCAATTTCGTAGTTAGACTTGCCCGATTCGAGGGTCGAGGAAAAGGGGCAAGTGGTCCTGGTCGAGTCACCCGAAATGGTAATTGAAAATGTTATGTAAAATTGGTGGGGGTGGTAGCGATATTGTGGTCCACAGAAACGGTAGGACATAATTGGCTTTGGTTTGGAACCGTTTAAAAGTTATAGAGTAGATTGTAGCAATCTTGTCTTGGGGCTATTTTGGGGAAATGCTTCGTTAAATTCTTAATTTGGGAATCTGTTTTGCTTAAAGGTCTTTCAAACGTTTTGGTTTTGAAGAGAAACACTTTTATGTAAGGTAATGAAAGTCTTTTTTCAATTAGGCCCTTAAATGTTTACTTGTATTAAAACTTCAACCATAAATTAATTTTCAATATTCTATTGCCCCTCCGAAGTGAAGCACTTACAACAGCTAGTCCATTGTCCATCAATTACTTAGCCTTATCTGCTGGGGCCATATGGTGTCATCCCAACTTGCGGCGGAGAAGAGAAAAAAATGTAATAACAACGGGATGGCGAAATTTTTACACACAATTTAGACACATTTCCGCACGTAGCCGAGCCCAAGCCTAAGCTCCATGTGCTTCATAACGTGGAGCTGGAAAACAAAAGCTAAAGCAATGCTAAGAGGAAAAACCGCCACTGCGGAAAACGTCAAAAAATGCGACGGAGAGGAAATAATGTTGGTGGGTTTCCAGCAAAAAAAATACATATAAAAAATACGAATAAAAAAGGCTCTTTTTTCATCGCTTTTGGACTAACTTGAAATTTAAGGAAACTTTCATCAAGTAGCCTTCATTCTAAAAATACTTCATGAAATTTCTGTTGGTAAATACATTTTATTAATTTAAGGATTAATACTAAAAGCAATCTTTTTTTAAAGAGTATTACAAATGCTGTATTATTTCATAGATGATGTGAGATGCGCCAACTTGAAACAATGCCACCGCTTGGCCCCTAAAAAATCTGTTAGCAATTGTGTCTATTAAGCTCGAGCAATAAACTTCATAAATTCCACAAATTAGAATGATTAAATTTCATGTCCGTGTAATTTCTAGCGAACAGACGTGCCCACTGCTTTGGGTAATCAAATTATTTACTGGCCGCTCAAATTAATGGAAAGTGATTTGGAAAAAGGCTAGGTCAAAACCTTTGATCTGCTGGCTAAACGCAAATACAACAGGCTGTCATCGGTGGGCTTAATCTTTCAATTGAATAATGCTTGTCAATCTATCTTGACAGGATACCCAGGTTTGAAACATTTGCCACTTTTACAAGCTTATACAGTAGATACTCATTATCAGCTATTCTTTTATTTAATATTGTAAAATGAATTTGATTTTCCTTTAACATCTTAAATATGTTTAATAAATTTAAATACATTTGGGTATTATTAAATTCTCTTTTTGGCATATTATTGTTTGGCATATTATGTGTACGTTTTGATATATATATTCACATCTTCCTGCCTTAAAAGCATTTGAATACAACCGATACTGTTTATCAAATATACCATACGGCAATTGTCGATTGTTCGGAAGCGACACAAATTGGTCATACGATGTCCGGCGATAATTATTGTCAATTTATTGAATGCTCATTATTGAAATATCACTCATACGCCACAGAGGCATGCTAATAAACCCATTGAAACGAACGTTCGATGTCCGCAGCGAACTTTTAGAGCCGCGACCACAACGCAGTTGCTGCATGTGCATGTGTGTGAGATATAAATATAGCTAAATACAGCTGCGGTCATTATAATAGGCGCTTCTTCATATGTTTCGTCTTAAATTGAATATATTTTAGAACATTTTATAAAGGGAAGAAAGATTGTCAAGGATTTTAAATAAATAAAAAAAGATTTTGTAAACATTTTTTTGTACATTTAAAATAGTTATTGCTATTCTCTTGACCGCAACATAAATATTGCTGTATCTGTAGTGAGTGTCAGGTCGTGTCTATGTTGCTGCGGACAGGACGACCGCGCAATCACGATGACGATGCCACCTATTTCCAATTACCGATGATGCTGAGCGAGCACCAAAGACACATCGACCCACCAACCCACCGACCCGACCATGATTGATTGCAACAAAACCAGATTTTGGTTACTGTCATTTAAGAGCCGACTAACTTTCGAGTTGGCCGACGCCCAAATCGAACCTTTATCGTGGCACTTGACTACGCCGTATGTTTAATGCAGGGGATAATTTTAATTGCGCCCTGGCTGCATTTTTAATTAAACGCAAAATTAAAAATTGATTGCTTTTTGACGCCATAACTTACATGGCGATAATGCCCTGATCCCCGAACCCAGTCAGTTGGTTTTTTCGTATCTGTGTGGCACACTTTCACAGAATTTAATATTATAAAATTTAAATTGAGAAGAGCCTTACAAAAAGGAATGCAAGTAAGTATATAAAATTTGCATTTGCGTGGCACATGCAATGTGCGGATAAAGTTTGGCTATTTCGGGCTAGTTGTGTACTTTTTTCGACTCCTGCCAGCCGGAAGTAAAAGGTTTTAAGCGGAAGTGCGCAGAGTTGCAACGACATATTGTGTTTTCGTATGTGTGTGTAATTATATGCCGGGGTCTGCTAAATGTTGCGGAGACATGCAAAGCGGCTTTTAGCTCGCTGCTAGTTTGTTTTTTGAACAAGGTTAAATGAGGTCTAGGAAAATATTTCTGTTCTTCAAAATTTGATAAACACCATTTGGGGCCATAAAGATTTCCCTGTGTACTCTAGTTATCAAATAAATACAAGTATTTTCCGCTTTGTATGCAAGTTTTTTATTTCAATACAAGATTGATTGAATTGCAGATTAAATTAACCATGCAAGAATGGTGATTTACATTACGGTTTTGTAGTCTCGCTGACTTGCATTTATTACTCCACATCGAATAATTATTAACATTTAAGTGCACCAACTCACCAATCAACCGATTTGGTATTTAATTAATGCAATTTTAATATGGCAAATTAATGAATTTTAATTCGACACACCAGCAGCCGCACGGCAGCATTTAGTGGGGGAAAATGAATGCGAGGACATTGTCAATATGCCAACTGAATGCACTTGATTAATTTGTAAGAATTCTTTAGGCTCGCTTATCAATATTAATGGCTTGACAATAACATTATTACAATTTGCATAAAAATATTTGCAAAAACTGGTAGCCACTTAATCAATTCCATTTCAATTTGTGCTGTCATTGTTGTGTTATTTACCTTAAATAGGTTCATTTTAATAATTTAATATTCATTTAAGTGTTCACACAATTATATTTCACTTATTTGATTTAATTTTTGTATTCCGGGTGCTTTCCCAAGAGTTTCGACATGTGATCGACGTAAGCTTTTTGAATAATGTCAATCATTGCTGGGAAACTCTTTCAAGGACTTGTGTTTAAAATTGTACATAATATTTTCTCTATTTTACATATGGATTTTTTTAAGCCCTTTGAACCATTATGCGAAGAGGAAAGTGAGGAAGAACACACGCCATTTAATGCTACTTTCCAGTATGATATCCTCAAAAAGTTTATGCCACATATGCGATTCCAACACATGATGGATGATAAAATGGTACCGCTGAGTAAAAAACTGGAGCTTGCCCTCGACAAAAACATCGGTCCCCATGCCCATGTGATACTTAACGATACGGTCTACAAGTGCCTAGTTCTGGTGCTCCGCATCTACTGCCGTCTCTTCACGAATAATCTCCAGTTCAACGATTTCGTCAAGTTTCCGCAGGATGCAATAACCAATGAGTCCTTTGAAATGGCCTACGCCTGGATGACCACAGATGGGATATATTGTCCCCGCAATGTGTTATTAGATCTCCTCCAGGCCGCCAAATTTCTGAAGTGCTCTCCTCTGGCCGAAAGCGTCTTCGATTGCCTGAACGACCACAAGTATTTCTCTGAGCTGGATGCATTCGCGTGCTTTTTGGATGCCCTAGCAAAGGACAATCTCCCCATTGCCGATATGATGTTAAAAAGAGTGGGCAAGGCCTTTCTGGTCCTAGTGGGCACCAAGGAATATCAGGACCTGGATGTCAGCTCCCTGTGCGATTTAATCAGTTCAAATGGCTTGAATGTTCAGTCCGAAATTGAGGTACGTTGTTAAGTGATAGATTTCTTTTTTTTAAGGGTTGCTACTTTCAATAAATTTAAGATACAAGTTTTACAAATTTCATATTTTAAGGTAAATGCAAACTATTATTTTTTAGGGAAGTTTAAATTTTATTTACGCCACTGGATGTGCCTAGCAATCTAATATAATATAAATATATTTAAAATATTATGATTGAATAAGTATAATTTGATAAAAATGCTTGCATTATTTTTATTATTTTTATTATTTTTATTTCGATTGTTTCACCTATTTTTATATGCATTATAGGTATTTTATTCAGCTCTGGTCTGGCTATTGTCCGACTATCGGAAGCGCAGAAAGTACATTGGCCGTGTCTTGAGCAATGTAAGGTTCGATATGATGCACCCAGCATTTCTAATTCAATGGGTGGACAATGTCGAAGATTTTCAAAGAGACCTTGCGGATGAGATTCGCTTCAGCCTTAATAATGCTATGATTACCCAGCAGGAAAATTTTGGAGAAATCTTAATGTCAAACTACTTTGAACATGGGGAACGCTCCTGGATCCGGGATCCCAAGTGTCCCTATGGGAAAGATCTCGATTCAGATGGTGGCTGCGAAGTTTCAACCGAAATGTTTCTCTACTATATGCAGTTTATTCGAAAATCACACAAATCCTTTCTGTCACGTGTGGTGAGAGTCGATTATCCTGTCATCGAGCATGCTGTTTACTACGAAGAAGATGATCCGATATGCGAACCCTCGGCGGCAATGCCTCACACAGACGATTCGGAAGGGGACTTTAATTTCACCTCCGAGCCATCTTTGTTTTCCCATGACGAAGATACTGATGAAGAAGATTTTGACTCATCTGATACTGATGATCTTGACGAAGATTTTGGTTCATCTGATACTGATGAGAGCCCTGATGATATTGATGTCCAAGATATTGATGTCCAAGATATTGCATACAGTATTTTGAGCGTTTCTGATGATACCGATAGTCAAGATATCGCATCCAGTATTTGGAGCACTTCTAATGATGAAGTCTTTACCGATATAGATTTTTTTTCCGATCCAGAAATCGAATCAGATTTAAAAACGTATTCCTTCACGGACTCCTCTACGGATTCTTTGACGGATTCCTCAATGGATTCCGATAAGGAATCTACTGCAGATACTGTTGTGGAGTCCACATCAAATCTCACAGTAGATTCCGTGACAGATCCCGCAATAGATTCCACACTAGATTCCGCTGGAGATTCTGCAGTAGATTCTGTTGGAGATTCCTCTGTAGATTCCGCTACAGATTCCACAGCAGATCTTAAAACCGAAAGCCTTAGTTCTAGCGTCACCGAAACGCATGATTCGTTGAAAAGTTTATAAATTAAATAAAAGCGAGTAAATAGCTAACATTTCCAATAAATTTATTTGGAGGAGATTGGGTTAAGGTTCGCACTTCTTGAAAGCGAAAATACAAATTTTCTGGGCCAACGGGGAAGCACTTAAATTGGGCGTAACAAAATGTCTGACACGCCAATTATTTTGCTTTTTATATGGGACAGACAGACATACACTCTGACTACTCCTGTTTGTTGCTGTAACTACTCCTCCGGATCCTGCCAGTCCTTCTGCTTTTACTGTTCTGCGTGTTAGTTTTTATATGTGGGTGTCTGTGGCTCTCAGGGTTGAGGGAAATTTTCTGCTGCTTGCTTTTTAAGTGGTTTTATTGTTCACTTGTTTGTACTGCTTGTTACAACTTCGTTACTTTATTTTCATTTGTATTTTCCTTTACATATTGGTTTAAAAGTCAGTGAGCCATGGCCAACAACGACGATGAGCTGCAATTTGCGATGCCAGATAGGTCAGCTTGCTGAGAAGTTGGTTAAGGTTTAGCTGAAGAAAACTAATGATTGGCAATGCTTAAAGGGTAAACGAAGTGAAAGTTAGTTACCTGTTTCTATTTGAAGAATTTTGTTTCATTAGATTTAATGCTTCCGTATCTCTTTTATTTCCGAATTACCAGTGGGTATATATAACCGAATGACTGGACCAAGTTGCAAATGATAATTATGCCCAAAAACTATACTCCTAGCATTTTTTGTTTGTATTAATATTACCCTGAAATCCCATCACACAACATGCAAATTATTTGAAAACTTTTTCGACAAAGTTTTATTTTTGTGTATGTTATAAACGACAGGTTTTTATGGCCATGATTTGCTAATTACATTTTGTTTATTTGGTAATTGGAGTGCAGCCATTATGTTCATTAGCAATGAGTGAAAAACTGGATGCCATGCAATTAAACAATAGAAATTTTGAATCTCTACGATATTTCCGGTTTCTAGCATTTTGGTCCATTTATTTTATGTAGTTAGTATCATGATTTATGGCTCTTATGCTGTCACATCGAATTCCCTAATAAAACTAATTGATATATTGCTGAAGAATACTTGGTGGGCCATAATTTCCGTTATGACAATTGCTAAGATATTGATAATCATCTAATTCCGGCTGCGAAAATGTCTCGATTACTGATTTATTTAATTTTGGAGATTAATTGTACATTGATATATGTTATATATATAATGTTATGATGCTTCAAAATACTTCGTTTTTGCGTCTTACTTTTGACTACTTTTTATAATATACGCATATATTTTTATAATATATTTATATATACGCAGCATAAACATACTCAATTCATTAAGAACCTTACACCTACATTATGAGAAATTTATACAGCAGCTGAGCCATTCAAAGGCACAAAAACTCTGCGACAAAAAAAGCTTTTCACTTGGGTTCATTCAGCACTTCTTGTCGCTTTTCTTTGCGTTGCTTTTCTTCTACTTCACTGGGTAAATGCGCTTTTCCTGCTCACATGTTGCTCTCAACTAGTTTGCTGTTAGTTTACTGCTGACATTTCATTAAGTTCACTCCTGTTTGCCATTTGATTTCAATCAGGAAATGGAAGAGATTAAGGATTTGTCTAGGAGCCAATGACCCACATACTCGTGGATGCAAAATTTGTGCCACTTTGTCGGACTTACTAATTAGACATTATTGCTGCGAATGTCCGGAAACAAATTAGCACTTTGGTATTTTGAATTAAAAGCTATGGCGACAGACAGCAAGGCAGTTAGTCACTGAATTCAATGGGATGGTATTGGATCCGTACTTTCGGTTGTCAGGGAACGTTCGATGGCACCCGGGAGGCGTTTTCGGCACTAAAAGGAGAAATTGTCGGGCATTCGATGGGCGCCTGCGGTTCAAAAAAGGCCCAAAGCATCGAGCCTTTTTGCCAGCCAACAATGGGTTGGCAAATGGTAGTACCGATAAATAGGAAATTTGCACTGAATTTGCACGCACGGCTTAATTGTTGGCCATGTTGTTAGGCACCCGACGGCAGATTAAATCGGCCGTAACGCCAAAATACAAGCGGACTGGGGGAAATGCAGTGAAAATGTGACAAGGTCCGCTGCAAAATGATCCCGTGCTCAACGCACTTTACTCCGACCCAGCCAATTGAGCCCTGACCGCTGGCAATTCACAATTTGCAAGTGCAGTTTGGCGTAAATTTTCCAATTTGAACATTTCATTTGCTAAATTTGATGGCATAACATTTTGCTATTGTTTTCAAACGACATCCACTTACCTGCAATTCATTAACGTACTTTAATATCAGCCAAATTTTAATTTGACAATAGGAATTCTCAGTAGCAATTAAAATATGGACAATATCAAATGCAATTTTTGTTAGTATTTAGTAAACAGTTGGAAATATTTTAATTAAGAACCTACTTTGCTTGTTTTGTACTGGATATACAATAAATGTGGTTTAAAAATCTAGAAATATTTTATCGGATTTTTTTATTGCGTTCATTATTTTTAATTTATTTCATTAATATTTTTTAATTTTTTAAAATTTAAATCCAATTCCCTTTAAGTACAAATATAAATGAGTATATACCAATTAAACAATAATTACTGATAGGAAACTTAAAAAAAAAAAAACGCAGCAGTTTTTCAAAACAGAAACGAGTTTTGAAGTAGAATACCCGTTTGGCTACCATTTAATGAATTGTGTCATTAACCCCTGAGTTCAATAAACTCAAAAACTTAGATTTCCGGTTTCTCGTTGAGCCCTTTACAATGCAAATGCGGAAACACCGACAAAAGCTGGCTGGATGATTAAAGAATAATTCATATGCCAGTCCAAAGTTGTGGAACATTTCCGTTGTAGTAAAAAATTCCGCCCCCCCTCTCCACATAATGAACGCATACATATTCATAACGCACACAGACAGACACCTTTCGGCTGCGTGTGTGACCCACAGGTGTGTGCGTGTGTGTTCGTGCGAAAATATTGCGACAAGCCTGTCTTCCTGCATGCGACATAAATCTTGGGCAAATAAATAAAATCCAAAAAAACCCAGAGCAAAATGAAAGATAGAGCGAAGACAGTAAAAGCAAATGAAAACGCACGCGCAGCAGTAAATTTTCAGGGGGAACAAAGAGGGCAAAACGAAGAGGAAATAAAAGGGGGGGGGGCTAAAGGTGATGGGGCAGGTGGGACATCATGAACACCTAGACGTGCCGACAATTTTTGCATTTAAATGCGAGCAATTTGCCGGCGCCAACTGAAAGAAGAAGCAAATGAACGTCAACGCAAGCGAAAAAAAAAAACTGTTGCCTACTTTCTGGGGCCATCGAGAAGAAAATGGCGTTAAACGGATGTGAATCATGTGCGGAACTCCCCGACACGAACAAAAAAATGACAAAAAAAATACACGAATGGGCCAAGGAAAAGTAAAACAGTCGAGTGGCGGAAGCACAAAATGAAAATGATAATAACAATGCGGTGGCAGACGTCTTCAATTATTGAAAATGGTGCGATTTGCATGGTAAGCGTTTCATTTGACAGCGGAAGTTCATTAGCAACATCTGGCGATGGGGATCCTGCTCTCAGTGCAAGTGTGTATGTGTGTGTGTGTAAATTGCATTTTCCGAGTATCTGCCACACTTAATTAGAAACCGCAAGAGAAAAAGAAGCGAAACGAGTGCAAATTTGATTGGGCTTGTGGTCTGTTTGCAACGTTTCCAAGGGCATGATGGCCCCTTCAATTTATAAAGATGTACAAATTCTAAGATGGAGCTAAAACTATAATTTTAACAATGCTTCCAAGAAATATGAGAACTTAAAATATACTATATATCTTAAAATAAGTATAATGAAATTTTCACTCCCAACTTCAATAACCATAAACCATTAAAATATATAATTCTAAAAAGTAGAAGTCTATAATCTTTAAACAATTTTTGTTATTAACTTAATTAGCAATAAATAAATGCCATAACTATAAAAAGTAGCAGCCTTCAAAACTATTGAACCTCTTCTTCAAGATTAAGATTAAAAAGTGCTGTTACCACCACAATGAGCATCTCTTAAGTCCAAACTGTAACCATTCTGCTTGATTTGCGAACCGATAAAGGATTCAGTGCTATTTCATTCAACATTAATTACACCCGCGGTTTTTTCCAGAGTGGATTGGTCAATGGATTTTCACATGCTCGTTTCCGATTTACTCCCTTCGCCTCCATCCCAAGTCGAAGTTGATTTTATATTTCACTCGGTCGGCGAACAGTTAAATCACCGCCAAGGCCACTTCGATGCGAAACCGACTGCTGATGCGAATGTGGCCGTGGCAGGCGTTCATCATCCGCGTCATTATCGGGTCTTCCACATTTGGCAAGCCGCCCAAAGATCGAGGGCCAAATAAAAAAAAAGAAATGTGAGCCACGTGAAAAATTCCCTCTTCTGCCAAATGCAGCGGTTGCTTTTGCCTCAATTGAATAATTCGTATGATAAACGAGTGTGTTTGCCGGTGCGAGTTGTGTGCATTTTATATGCCCTCAGTCATTTCGATTTCACTTTTTGCTCTACACATTTCAATGGCTTATCCTAGCACCACTGAGCTGGTTTCAATGCCTCTAACAAAATATTTTCCTGCGCATAATTTCTCATTTCGTTTATTTTTGGGCTTGTGTTTTTGTTTTTTGTAAACGCTGCCGGTTGTTTGTGACACCTTAACTATATTGTTTGCTCCATAAATGTTAGTTTTTCGTAATGGGCAAACGAAAAATTTCAATTCGCACTGGGTAGATAAGTGTGATTAAGTGAATTTGTGTGTTATGAAAAAAGAATTGAGCAATGGAGAAACATAATTTTTAAATTGGCTGTGATTATTATTCATATTTTGAAAAATTATTTTCCTTAAAGGGCACAATTAATAAGTTAACAAATGACTTTAACAAATAATATGTTTCTATGACTGCTACTTTAATTTTTAAACACTATACCATACTAAAAGAAAATAATTAAGCTTAGATAAAACCAATAAACCATTGAT